TTTTTCTGCCATTGCCACTCATAAAGCAACACATGGGCGGATGCAGATCACGGATCTGAGCCTTTTGTGGCGGTCAGACTGGCCACGATAAAAAAAAGTTGAAACACGCAAACCTAGTTGAAAACTGACAACTGACGTCTGAGTAGGACGGACAGTTCCGGAGCCCACGCCCAACTAAAGTGTATCACCGACGGACAAGTCAGTTAAGCAGCCACGAGGCCACAGGGTGGCGAAGGGGGCGGCGGTCGAAGTTCAAGGGACCACTAACGCGAGCCAACGGCTGCCGTCGGTCGGTTATGGTCGGTTGCCCTTGCGTCCAAACCAAACACATCCGACCAAGCTCGGCAACCTTCGGTCGGTCGACTAGTCCTTTGCCGGTCAAGCTGGCCTCAACACGCTCATTGCTGGCATCCAGGCGTATACGAGCTTCCACAGCTTGAGACACACTTGCATTGCCTCGATGGCCAGGGTGAGAAGCTGCTGTTCGCAGGCCTGAAAAGCATTCCTGGCTGCTCCGCGCACGTTGCCGGTATCCATCGTTGGTGTGCAGCGATTTCACAGAGGAGGCATGCTCAAAGTCAAAGCGCCATCCCTGCCACATAGTCAGCATGCGTGTCCATGGCCGCCTGTCGAGACATACGCTGTGCCGCACGCTCGCCGGGAGCACAACTGTGGCAAACAAACCCGTCGTGACCTCAAGGACTTGTAAAGATTTGAATTGAGAAAACGTTCGTCCTACAAACAAGCAACTCCGGAAGAGAGCTATGCAGCACAGCCTATGCTTCGAGTTCTGTTTACATTGATTGGGTGGGGTGTGAAGAAACTTTCTAGCACTAAACTTCACTAAACCCTATAAGCCCAGCTTCCCCGGGTCAACTTTAGAATATCAAGTAAAGGCTTCGAGGCAAGCCCTATGTGCCGGTTTTCCCCCACATGTTGGGAATCAAGAACTGGGTTTCTCGGCGTCTAAACCGCAAACCTGGCTTCCCTTCCCGAGAGGGGCCTGGGCTGCTATCCAGCTAAACGCTGAATAGAACTGCGATTCCCGCTTATTTCCCAGCCTCAAGTAAAGTATGCTTTGCCAAGCGACAACGCTCTTGCGAGCCCTTACAAGCCCAACACCACCGTGCTGAACGCGGCCCTCACCTAAACCCTACAACTGTCGAAAACCAAACCCCTGCCGGCACTGGTGTCCAGCCAAGGTGGCCCCTGCGAGCTCTCCGCTGGCGAAGACACCGATGTGACAAATGGGCGGTTGCAGCAGCATTGAGCAAACCACTCCCTAAGTCAGCCTGCAGACGGGCCGAGGCGTGGTCGCGTAGCGAAAAAAAACCTAAAACCTGGTGAGATCAAACACTAGCAGCACTAGCAACAACAGAACGGCTTTTCGCAACATTCCGAATCATCCATTGGTCGGACGACGTGAACAAACACGGGTAGTGGCGACAGTGACGATATCGCCGATCAAATAATAGACACCAGCAGTCTGAAGAGCAGCATAAAGTCACTAAGGAACCAAAAGAGCAATGATGAACAAAACAGCCACAGAAAGGATAGTGACACGCGTAGCCTTGAACGCGCACCGAACTCGAGCACTCATGACCGCAGTACAGGCACCAGTTCTGTCAACCGCCACTGAGCAATGCGAAACAAATACTGATGCCCGAATTTTCTGTAAGTTAGCCAACAAGATTCACAACAAGGCAAGCAATGAAGTGTCACGACGCGGTGCTTCAGAGGGCTGCAATGAAGCGTTGATGAGCGGCTTCATGGACAATCAAGATTGCAATGGGTTTGTCTTCTGATGAACAAACGCAACCTACACATGCATCAGAGACAAGAACTCATGGGTGCTATGCTGGACGTGCTATCACCAGTTGTGATTTGTTCATAATACATGCAAGAGAGCAACTACAGAGACCGGAACTCACAACACGAAGAATAACCCGGTCATTCATTTGGGACTCGTATGCTGCCTGCAATCACGCACACAAAATGCGCGATAGCCCCATATGTGAGAATTGAGAAACTAGTGAAGGCGCAGCGCTTGGGCTGCTGCTGCTCCTCTAAGTTCTTTTGCAAAGCGCTCACGAGCCTGCAGAGCAAGGAGTGGCTTCGGTACATCTGGGCAAGCACACGAGCACCAACCGCCTGGTGTCGTCGGTGGGCTGCGATCTGAGCAGAAGTAGTTTGAATGCAAAGCCCTAAGCCCTAAAAGCTCATCCGGTCTGAAGCAGCGGCCTTTCCAGTTGGTGCCGGAGTCCTAGCAACGGGAATGGAAGGCACGGTGCTCCAGTGTGAACACCTGGACACAACGCGAAATCCAAATTACATCCGCTTGAATAAGACTGTTGGAATCTGTTGGGTCATATCAGCAGGACTGGCTGACGAAGTGACATCACTCCTTCTACCAGTGCCTCTTGCTTCATGGCTGCAGCTTCAACTGCAGCCACCTCAGCTTGGGTGGCTGGACATCATGTGAATCTTAGAGTAACCCTGTAGCAATGCATTCCAACAAGCGCACTACTCGCCATCTGTGTTTTTCTACCCGTGGGGCTACTGCTTCCGAGTGGAAAAAAACGACGGTACGACACTATGGCAACTTCTGCGAATTCCAGAATAGACCCGGGCATAAGCAAGGACGTCGATTCACAACTCCGCATGGTAGGCCGGGCTCTTGGCAAAACCGGCTTACTTACAGATTCTCCTACGACGCTCAACATCCCTGTTTGCTGTGCTCGCCGAGGACAAGCTGGAGCCATCCGCCCGCTGCGGTTTGATCTTGCAGTACGCATTCCGTCACGGCAGCTAAACATTAGCCTTCGACGAGTGAGTGCAGCAAGCTCTCCAACCGAGCACTCTGCTGCTGTTTAGCTAATGAAAGACAGTACGGTCGTTAAGTGTGTTCGTCTGGGACACGAAGAGCACGCGATGGTAATTCTGGAAAGATTTGGGTTTTTGGGAGGGTGGGTTCTGCGTTGGATGGGGCCTTGACTGCAGCAAGGTGCGCTGAGGTGTCAGTGTCCCCAAGGCTGAGAAACTCAATGCGCTTGTCGCGAAGCTCCTAGTCCCTGAACAAGCTTATACGAACAAGAAGGTAATGCGGTCTGATGCTCTCAGGCCGCACCCTAACTAGAAGTCTGCTCTGGGATGCAAGCTCGGGCTTCAGCACGATTACTTCGAGACTCCTTGGACACAGGGCCCCGGAATGGCTTCCATGCGATGCTCTGTCTGGCTCTCCTCGTCTTGCAGACGCCTCTCAGCACATTGGAGTCGAAATTCCACCTCCACGAGGTGCCACACAAACTTGTCGATGTTTGACAGCTTCTTCCGCCAACTCTGCGAAAAAAGAGACAAACTGTACAGATTGGACTTCGTCACGGCACCTTGGAGCGCTCTTGTCGCTCATTGTCCAAGGAGTCTCGCAAGTCCTCCGCGAGAACGCAGCAAAACTAACAAGTTGGGAGGGACGGGAGGGGCCGAGGGGCCTTGAGCTTCTCCTGCATTTCCTGCTCGCAGACAAGTGGCGACACTACTCTTGGTCTCTTCTCACTCCGCCTTGATTGAGCGCTCCAGGGCCTGTTCGATGCCCAGAAACTGCTGCGCTGCTATGCTTTGGAGTTTGGAGGCCGTGGCGCCTCAACTCTGGAGCCCTCTGGTGACTGCCCTGCGCCACCATAACCGCACCTTTTGAACATGCAGCAACGAGAACTCAGAATGGACAAAACGACTTGTCTGCAGGGTGTGCGTCGTTCGCTCCATTTTCGTGTCCGACGGGGCATGCTTTGCACATGTCTCATGTTGTACAGTTCACTTGCAAGCCTTCCGGCAAGCAAATCAACCACTGAGCCAGCGACATGCCTGGCCCACCCATCATACCAGCCATTCCCAGCTGTGCCATGCCTTGAATATTGACATCACCACCACTTCCGACAGACCCATGGTGGACAGCCCTCGGACGCCCACAACTTTGTATGTGCGGCAGGGAAAACTGCCTCAATTACACAACACAGTTGCCATTTCTTCACGAGTTCTATCTTGTAGTGAGGCAGAAGCTGCGCACACGGATACGCAGAGTAGACACCTCGGACAAGATGCTCAGCGACACATCCTCTGGCCAACGCCGTGGACCAAGGGCTGCACCCTGGCCGCATCCAGCAAAGTCCTGTCCGCCTGGCGGTGGTGTCGCCACCTACAAGCCACCATCCGCGAACTGACACAAAGCTCGCCCTGACTGCAAGAAACTCACAGCTGGGCCAAGTGCTGCTGGAGACGGTATCGACCTGCGGTTCAAGGGTTCGTGAGGCCATGAGGCAGTCTTGAAATCACAGTGCAACCGTGGCTCCCAGGATTCCCAGGCAGTGGCTCTGGCATAGCTGTGGTGGAGGAACCTTTGCTGGCCTGAAGTAGAAAATCTCCAGAGCTAAAACATGTCAAGCTCACCATTGACATGCAAAGCTAGTCTTGGGACGTCGGACCGCTCCACCGAAGCCTCAGTAAAACAAGGCAAAACATCAGATGCAGATGCATTTCGGTCGTGTGAGGGTGTCAGTGGAGGCAGAGTTGCGGCACTTCGGAATTCTAAAATCGTTCACGCTCACGCTCAAACTGTCCGCATCCTGGGATCGCAGGTATTAGAACTCTCCGCCACGTTTGACTCCTGTTCCGATCGTCATCGAAATGGAAGATGAAGACACTGCTCAACTAGTGGCTGCACTCTGGAAAAACGCAATCGAAGATTGGCTTGCGACATCTGCTGGGAATCAACACACTGCAACTGACAGAATCAGGCGGGCCTGAACCGGCAAGTAAGCTGCACACCCGTGGCAGTGCCCTTGGCAGCAGCACCTGCAGATTCAATGCTGTTCTGGGTGATTGCATCTCGTCTTTGGCCTCCTGGCTTGGACTCGGATTCATCACTCCTTTTTCCGCTGCTGATTGCAAAGCCTGCCAGTTGGAAGCCTGTTCTTAGGCTGCCGCAGCACCTATGCGAACTCAAATCAGCCAACGTGGATCCCGGAGCACTCCAGCATGAAGCCTTAGACCATCTCAGCATTCAACCGTAAACATGACGTTGGAAAGCTGCTCGGATGTTTTCCAACTGCGTTGAGCGACGTTTGTAGAGCTGCTTTGCCAGGTTTTTCCTTGACTCGCCGCTCATGCCCTCAAAGGCTCCGTCTGGACATGCCTCAGGCAGAACATGGCAGAACACTTCTGTAGATCCACTCCCTCTGTAAGACATCCCGGCCTCAATTGTCTTGAAGGTCGGCGGCAAGCGGATATCTTGTGGAGGCAGCGTGCGACCGCTGGGCTCATACTTGAATGTGTACCTCGATCATCTTGCGACGACCCGCTGAACACCGCTAGCACGAGCTGTTTTGATGCTGTCTCGTTGTCAACACCAGGCGATGCTTAAACATTAAAGTGTTCGCTCTGCTCACGGTTTGACACAAACAAAGCCATTTATGCCGAGCTGCACCATGTCCTTTTCAGCGCGCTGAACGTTGTAACCCTCCCCCTCATCTGGCCGTCTGTAAGTATCACGACGATCTCCATAAGACCGGCCGTAGCGGTGCAAACTCCACTGCAGAAATGGTACGGTCTCCACGTGCCGAAACTCATTCTCTGCGGCCGAACAGATGATGTAGGAATACCGGACGCCAACCGCTCCCTGGTTCGATGCGACCTGCACAGCTCGGGCAAAGGATAGCAATGACAGGCTTGCGGCTTGAAGCGGTGGCACTGGTATGCAATGTTACATTGTATAACTAAATATGTCCCATGACTGGGCAAACTTCGCATGTCAGGCCGAACCACTTGCTTTCCTGTTGATCCACATTGGACTCCTCAAGACCTGCAAGGCCTCAAAATGACCCCAGGTCTGGTCGAAACCAGCAGTTTTTCGCTTCCATACATTCTTACATGGCACTTGGTCCTAGATTTTGTTGGTGATGATGGATGTGATCCAATAACGGTCGCTCCATCCAATCGATTCTAGACTGGGACTTACATCTTTTGGCCTCTTCTCCGCGCGAGCTGCAGGGTGAAGCAAAGAGACAACCCTAAGACTGTTGACTTACATGTTTTGAGCTGGAGGCGCTTGATGCAAGCAGTCGTTATCCCGGCGCTTTGAAGTTGGCGAGACAACTGCTCAACCCAGTGGGCCCCGATTGATGCGAAAACACGCATGCTCTGTCAAATCGCAGTGATGTTTTGCAGACTTCCTAGCTTGCACCGCCAGGATTAAAGTTTCGTCGCACTTGCCTGTGGCCTCACACGACATGCCGAAAAGTGCATGTTACGTGGCCTGGCTGGCGGAGGAATTGATCCACAGGTATACGTGACTACTGTATACTACTTTAATGTTTCGGGCAGGGGACTGGCGAGGGGGCTGGCGGAGGAGGAGTCTGAGTCTAATCTTTCCAAGGTGTTCAAGACCAACATGCGAGAGTACGACGAACTTTGGTCCTGCCGCAGTATCGTAATGTTTGCAACTACGCGCCTTCACTACGCCACCTGGCTTGACATAGGCGCGTAACGCCCTGAAGAATAAGCGCATCAGGTTCTCATGGCGCCAGTTGACCAGTGGATGGCCGTCAAAGAAGCCACCAACAGCTCCTGCTTCTAGCGCCAATTGCCAGGTATGCAGTAATTATATGCAGCTATGAGACTTTGAGACATGCCAACGTGAGACATGCAACTATCCACCCGTGCACGACACAGTCCTGCATGCGGAAAATTGTAGTAGACAGCTCCCAGGGAACGTTCCAAGTCTTTGAACTCTGCATGGACTGCAATCCGCGTGCAGTCCACTTCCTTATAGCAGGCAAGCATGTTTCGAAGCGCCGAAACTCAGTACAGTCCGTGACTGTCAAGGTGCCTAAATGAGAGTTGGGCTACATGACACTCTGCACTGTTCTCAGGGTCTTGGCAGGCATCGGTCATATTCGTAGCGTTTGGGACAGCGTCGGTTATACCATGACTTGGAGTTTCACCATGCAACTCGTGCTACGACTACAACTTCCCAACTATCGGGTGTTCAGCGGCTGAATGCATGGTATTCGAAACTCTTAGCTGTTGGGCTTGCAACTAAGCTTTGCCGTCACTTGAACTTTAGGCTCTTCATGTCCACTTTCATTGCTAACCTCTTCAACGGAAAAGTCGAATTGCCAATTGACTCTGGTTCGGAGCAGTGGATTCCCAGCTGCCCCCACGAGGTGGGGGCTGTCGCAAACGCCCCAACCCCGGAAGCAACTTTTTGCCAGGCCATGCGAATCTGATGCGTAAGGGTTCGGAAGTGCATCATACCTTCCACCAGCCTCTGCCAAAAAAGGCTACAGGCACAGTTGTTGCCTCCCGCCTGGCAAGGACGAACCTACAGGCACAATAGTCCAAGTCTCAAAACAGGTTCAACACTTCTCCTTCATGCTTTCTCTGAGAAGGGTCTGGAACCCAGGGCCCAGGGACGATATCTCAAACACAATTCGACACGACCTGGGAACTTGTAAATTCTAATGCGGGGATGCGGCAAAGCCAAAGCCACTTAAAATCAACATGCCATGCTTTTCTGCTGCTCAGTGTCATGGTGAACTTCGGCGAAATGCTTCTCCAGCACTGCAATAGTCTCGTCTATTTCAGAATATCTCTCTCTCAGAACTTCCAGTGACTCGAAAGTCGTCGCAATGACCCGGCCAACATGACCCAAGGCCTCTGCACAAAAACTCTGCGATCAAAGAATCAGAAGCCGCGGCTGCAAACACGTCTAATACGCGAACAAAGCCCAATTCGCACCATGGGACATGAGAGGTGAGGAGACGGAGGGGGGGGTGGAGTAGGCTGCTGGCTGCTGGATAAAACAATTGCAAGGGGATCAAAAGATCAATACCCAGGCCCTGTACGGTGATGCTGAGATACGGGCTTTCACAGGACATGCCATCAGACACCACCCACCACCCACCACCTACGACCCACCACGCTCCACCCATCACCCACCGAGCGACCCGTTTTTCCAACCCTGAACCTGATTTTTTGACCCCGGGCGTGTTTTGTTAACCCCGAACCTGTTCTTCCCCTGAACTTGTTTTTTCGATGCCCGAACCTGGTTTGTGTTGACCCCTGAACCTATTTACAGGCTGAGTTGAGGGGTCCGAACAGCTTGATGCCTGCATACTTTGCTGTATCAATGCATACTTACCAGTATCTTTGTTGACGATTGGCTGGCCGCTGCGAGCTGGTCAGCGACTCTTCAAGAGAGCTTGCCACGCTCTGCATATACTGCCTTCTCCAGTTGCCGCTGGCTTGCTTACATGTGTCGCAGGGAAGGGGGCAGTGAAGGACAGATCTGTCATTCGAGCGTTTCTGTTGCAGCAGCTTTGGCTACAACGTCGCCCATGTCCTGCGAAGAATGCAGGAGGTGGCTTGTATGCGTTGCTGTGTGAGAACACGAATGTTGGGGTCAGCACGGCCCAACAGCACCCGTCCTGGGGCAGAGATCAAATGCGAAGCTTGTTGAACATCTGCATTGTCCACCCATGCTGATGCGCAAAGACCGTCCGTCAGCTATTGGATATGTCTGGCTCGAAAGAGTCGGGCAACACCCAAGGCTCTGTACGCGACAGAGCCTGTCACGGGCCGACAAGCTTTAGGAAGGCGAGCCTATGGACTGTAGGGTTTCGGATTCATGACTTCGTACTTTGGGTTTTTATCTGGAATGATGAAAACAAGGACCCCTGATGCCTAAAACTCAACCTAGCGACGATTGCCATTGTAATGGTATAACGTCATTTTCGGAGTCTCAGGGTTTTGGAAGTGGTGCTGTTTGTTTGCTAACATTCAGCTGTTTCCTCACCTGCTTGTCTGACGAAAGCTTTGCTAATGTATACAGTACGTGTTGCAAGTAGCGCCTTTCGATACACATGTGCATTCACGATTGTGGTGCTGCTTCTTTTGGCACGAGCACCAGTTTATGTTAGCCCATGTTTTAAGGCACGGGTTGCCCTACACCGACTGGTGGAGCAGCCGCTGCTAAATCCACGGTAGGTGGGCGGAACACGGGCGCACGCGAAACAATGGTGACCTATGCTCATGTAGTGTAGCCTTTGAGTTCAGCAAGCTGGCCAGGCCGAGTTTAGTCTCGGTGTCAACAGTGTCAAACATATCCCGCGCCTTTGGTTTCGGCCTTTGGCGGTTACTCCTTGCTGTTTTCCAAACCGACCTGCTCGTTACATACACACTTGACCGTTCACTGCATCTGACCTGATGTCGATGCTGGATGAGTTGTGGTCGAGCTTTGCGGCTCAACACGCAACTTGGCCTGTGCCAATGTCGATTCATTGCATGATGCCCCGCACTGGATTGCAGAATTGCTGCAGTTCATGCCAGCTGACTGTGGCAGGCACGAGTGCGATGCGTGGTGTGCTCCATGACAAATGCCTGTAATGTCTGTGGCAAAACACATGGACATGACACTTCAAGCCTTGCGCAATTCTCATGTGGATGTGCGGCCTCTTGCGTTGATGCAGAAACTGACCACTTGCCGTCTGGTCCAATTGCATGCTTTCTTGTCGATTTCCAACCGGTCCGGCAAGACGACTGCATCCAGGCACCCCCACAGTCTCGCATGCCGAAGACGAGCTTTGATGCCTGCGTACTCTGCTATATCAATGCATACTTAACTTTGTTGACAATTGGCTGGCAGCTGCGAGCTGGTCAGCGACGCTTCAAGACAGCTTGCCACGCTCTGCATATACTGCCTTCTCTGGTTGCCGTTGGCTTGCTTACATGTGTTGCAGGGAAGGGGGCAGTGAAGGACAGATCTGTCGTTCAAGAGGTTCTGTTGCAGCAGCTTTGGCTACAATGTCGCCCATGTCCTGCGAAGAATGCAGGAGGTAGCTTGTATGCGTTGCTGTGTGAGAACACGAATGTTGGGGTCAGCACGGCCCAACAGCACCCCTGCTGGGGCAGAGATCCTATGCGAAGCCTGTTGAACATCTGCATTGTCCACCCATGTTGATGCGCAAAGACCCTCCGTCAACTATTGGATATGTCTGGTTCTGGTTGCATGACGTGGAGACTGCGTGATGCGGCAGGCAACAGGCTGGCAACAGGCAGTCCAAGCGGTGGCTTGCTGCCAAGCTTGCATGCCATGCTGACATTAGGGCCGCCAGAGGATCAGTGTTCTGCGTGCCCGCGGATACCAGGCCAAAACCAGTTGGCGGCGGTAAGGTATGTTGACGACCTTCTACTGGTTTCCACATGGTGCTTGGAAGGCCTTGAGCCTGTTGTGAAGCGGGTTTATCCTCCCACCATCACTTTCGACATTGAGCAAAAGTCCTATACCAAAGTTCAATGGCTTGATGTTTGCTTGGTTGCTGCCGATAGCCGGGTTGTTAAGGCACGTGCCATACCCCGACCGGCAGCGGTGGCCACCATAAGTGCATGAGTCCGCCTTCGACAGTGTTGATTTTAGACAACGGGTGAAAGCGGTTGCTAGGTGGTCGCAGATCGGCCTGTCGTCGGAGCAATTATTATTAATGTTCGCAGTCACACGCCTGATGGCAACCTTGGCGAGATTGGACTACCCGCAGTCTCTTGTTTCCAAAGGTTTTTGTAGCCACGGTGGCCCAATAGCTGCGACGACATGAGTAACGTACTGGCAAAGATTGCACGGTCAATCTTCTGGCCACTCTACGCGACGGGTTGTTGGGTTTGTTTGGTGATTTTCGAGGGTGTTTTAGGCCTCTCCGTTGCCTTGGGGGTCCGGGTTGCAGTAAACAAAGTCATGGGTAGCAGAGGTCGTCGCAACCGTAGCCATCGGCGCTGGGGGCAGTATTCTCATGGGCAGCGCAATTGGCCAATTGGCATGGCAGGAAGGGTCAATGGCGCCATGAGAAGTACCCTGCAGCACAACGGCAAGCGCAAGGGCCATGGCAAGACGCAATACTCAAACCCCACGACCTGTGCAGCCTCGCTTTTTGCAGGAGTTGCATGACATTTCCAAACAGCAGCAGCAAGGCCACCTCGCTGCTACAGCGGTTTGCCGGGGGTTTTTGGCCAGCCGTCCCACGGTAGCCAGCCCTTCAATGTAGCACAGGCGTCGATGCCCCAGACTGAGACACCGTCATGGTTGAAGACCTTGCTTGATGGCCTTGCAAGCAAGTTTAGTGGCGCAACGGAGGGCTCTGTTGTGGACGAGGCGAAGACCCATGACGACAATAAGCAGCATGCAGAAGACATGGCTAAGCTACGTCTAGAGCTTGAGTCTCTGAGACGGGCCGAGAAGGACAGGTTGGTGCGAGATTGACAAGATGCGTGGCTTTGCGGATGAAGCAAATCCGACACTCCGGCCCGACAAAAACATCGCCTCCAGCTAGTGAAGGCAAGCAAGCCTCAACACTAGACCGGCTAGATGTGGATGTCGAGCAGTGGGATGTGGATGCTATGGTTTTGACGACTGCGCAGCAAAAGGCGCGGATTGCCAAGGTGAGACCCGGCAGCGCTAAAGGATAACGTTCCGCATGCTCAGTGTTTAACTGGTTGGCAGCAGAAACGCTGCGGATCAGCGATGAGGACCTGAACACGGCTCTTGTGGAGGCTGGTATGCGCAAGGCTTCAGTCCTCATGCGTGACTTGTACATCTTGCGCTTGCTTGTCACGGTCATGCAAGCACAGCAGATGCCTGAGTGACTAAGTGGGCGCACGACCTGCAGATTCAAACGATGCAAGCATGTGCGCCTCCTGACTCGATTCTTTGAGGTGTCTTGGCTGGTGCTGCCATACTTGCATGGATAGCAGAACGGTCCTTGCACTGTTCATGTGCTTGTGGTCCTCCTGGCTCCTCTGTCAGCCCTTGCTCAAAGATATGCTGGCTAAAGCTTTGGCTGCTTTACGCCTGTCAGTGCAGGCTATAGTGGAAGAGACGGTTTCGAGACATGCTTGGCAGTCAACTGTTGACTTCGGTGTAAAGCCATCTCCGCTGCATTGATACGGTTAGTGCTCGGTCATTGGCAGTCTCTGGCGTCACTTAGCTTATCGTCCTAGAGGCCTTGGCCGCTGCAAGCAGCTACGTTCCAACCTGAAAGTTCCATAATTCAGTCCGTGGAGGGGCTATTGATTGCATGACGTGCTCAGTTTGCACCCCGCCCTATTCCACAGATGGAGGAACTGGGGGTGCTGCGTGTTTGCAAACATTCAGCTGCTTCCTCAGCTGCCTGTGAGTGTCACCATGTAAGTTTTGCTGATGCATACAGTACGTGTTGCAAGTAGCGCCTTTCGATACACATGTACATTCACCATCGTGGTGCTGCTTCTTTTGGCACGAGCACCCATTTATGTCAGCCCATGTTTACTGCACGGGTTGCCTTACACCGCTGGTGGAGCAGCTGCCGCTAAATCCACAGTAGGTGGGCTGAAGAGGGGCACGCGCGAAACATTGGAGACCTATGTTCATGTAGTGTAGCTTCTGAGTTAACAGGGTTTCGAGACTTAGATTGGGATTTAGGTTTCTGAAATCCTGTGATCAACAAAGGGCTTGCCATACTAGAGCGATGGGGAGGGGTTGGAAGCACAACTGTACACTGCACTGCTACTCTGCTGCTGCTGCTCCAGGGTCCGGGGAGGGAGGCGCCTGCGGGCGACGGGAGGGGGGGGGTTGGAAAAACAGGTTTGGGGGGGCGACAAAACAGGTGCGGGGGTGGAAACAACCGGTGGCGGGGGTGGGAAAAACAGGTTTTCTGTCAGGGGAGGTGGTGGAAAAAACAGTGCGCACGAAAGGCCCTCCCCGCTGACGGGTTCAGGGGTTAATTCAAGAGAGGGTTTAAAAAGCAGGGCAGGGGGTTTAAAAAACTAGGGGCCACACGCACCACCCACCACCCACCACCCACCAACCACCAACCACCCACCACCGCAGCCAACCACACCAACCACAACAACCACAACCACAACCACAACCACAACCACGACCACAACAACAACAACAAGAAGCAAGCAGCGGCAGCAGCAGCAGCAGCAAGATTGAAAAGAATAACAATAATAATAATTATTATTATTATTATAATTATAATTTTAATAATTTGATGATGATGATGACGACGACGACGATGATAGTGGTGGTGAACAACAACCACAACAATAACAAGAACTAGAGCAAGAAACAGCAAAAACCAAACAACAGGCAACGGCAACAGGCAACAAGCAACAATCAACACAACAACATAACAAACAACAGGCAATTGCCACGGGCAACAGGCAACAAGCAACAATTACCGCACAACACAACAACATACAACACACAGCAAAAGCTAGAAACAATAAGAAACAACGAACAAACAACACACCACAACTGACAAACAAGCAAACCACCTACTACTCCTACTCCTGTTCCCGCTCCCGCTCCTGCTCCTGCTCCCACCCAGGCTTTTACTTCTACTCCTACTCCTACTGCTACTCCTACTCTCCTTCTACTCCTACTCCGGCCCCTGCTCCGGAGGAAAAAACACCCATTCGGGTAGCGAAGCAGTTAGCTGTATGCGGGAATACGCAAGGAACAATCACCATCATCCTCATGATCATCGTCATGATCACCCTCATCGTCATCATCATCATCATCATCGTCACCATCATCATCAACGTGCGGGCGCGGAATGGCTGACTCGCGCACCCTAAGCTGTTTGAGGCTGGGGGGGGGGGGGCTTACTACTACTCCTCCTGCTGCTGCTGCCACGGCGACTTTCAGCTCTGATGAATTTGTCCCGACCCACAATAGGGACACGTACACAAACCAGCAATGCAAGCTGAAGTGGACTGGAATTGAAGGGGTTGTCAGATACTGTTGTGGACGTCTTTGATTCAAAGCAGTCCGACGTCGACGTGTGTGGTTGCTTTGGCCCGAAAAGAACAAACCTACGTGGACCCCTCCGACACACAGCAAACAGGCACGCACAACACAAGGTGCGAGAGCATGCATTTCGCGCAAAATTGAACAAACCAACATAGCGGGATTGCGCTGCTGCCTTTCGGTGCCTGGCCAAGTTCCTCGGCCCAACTGTTTTGGCTTTGGCTGCTCCAAGTCCGCTCACATTGCTCATACGGTTGCAGCAACGAGCACACCTCTTTCATTTGCCGAGACACAACGCAAAGCCTTAGACATGAATCAAGTGGTGTCAGCAGAATGGGCAGGGCCGCTTGAGACAATCGTAGCCATGCTCTTAAGAAATCATGCGGTCCCGCAAAGCGGCTCAGGTTGGCATCTCCGAAGACAGCCGAATCCGCTGTTGGATCAATGAGCTCCAATCGATGGAATCGGCCAACAGCCGTGCATCCAGGGGCCTGTACAAGACGCAAACAAGCCAGTCCGGGGCTTAGGCCTCACCTGGCGAACAAGTCGCCCGAAAATGGCATCGCGCAGACACGTGTATGTTCACTTGTGTATTCCGTCTACTCTAAGCTTTCGGCTCGGACTGCTGCTCCTTCCGCTGAAGCCAGGTCCGGGTCGGAATCCACGGCCTCCTGGATGAGAGCCGGCAAATCCTGCAGACAGGCGACTGCCACCCTTGGGGGCTGTTCGGTGATGTGTCAGCAACGGACACCAGTTTGGTGTGGCACTATGTATCTGGTCCTTCGAGCCGTCGTAGCGCGTCAGCACGTATCCTTGCCCATGCCGCACGCACACGACGCCCTCATACATATAAGCATGCACCCACACGCAAACACACATGCACCCACTTCGAACGACCCTCGATATGCCGGAGCTATAACATGGGTGAGCAATTCGATGAGCACATCTCTTGCTCCTCAATTCACAACTTCATTCTTTCAGATCGGATTCACTTTTACGGCCACTGTGAATCCACAGCTGTTTACGGGTAGTTTGGGCTGGCTTTTGCAGATGTGAGATGGAGAGGGCAGGATAGCCGAGACGGTGAAGCGAAGGGGTGATGAAGAACAAACTGGAGGAAAGGGACGTAACCAAATCAGCTTGAAACGATCTGTGACCGTTTACAGAAATGAATGCTCAGCCTCCGAATACCTGCAATCAGCCTGTCTGTTGTTGTTGGTTGGTGTGGGAGTTTGCTGGTCGAAGCAGCCTCCCAGCCACTTTGTTTCTTTACTTGAGGTATGAGAGTTGCGCAAGCCAAACCGCGGCCACCCTCATCCTGTTCGTTGCTGCGTTGCTTCCGCATCTTGTGGTCTGTCTTTTTGAGGCGAGTATGGTGCTCGCATGCCAGAGCCACAACCCCTCCCCTACAAAGCTTCTTATTCTGAGGTTGAGATCGCAGGCCAAGCACCAGCCTCTCTCTTCCTTTTGCCTTCTCATCCTCAACACTCACAACTTTGGTATGTCGAAGAGCATTCACAAGTTTGGTATGTAGAGGATTATACGAATGGATAGCCCAACCCGAGCCCAAACTGTCCTCAAATTGCTGCGGATTCACAGTGGCCTTAAACAGCGAATCCGATCTGAAAGAATGAGATTTTGAGTTGTGACGCCAAAGATGTGTTCATCGACTCTTTTCAGGCATATCGAGGCTCGCTCCACGCGTGTAGATGTCGGGACAGTGTCAACTTGCGATCCTACATACATTCTGCCCTACATACCGAATTTGTGACCAGCAATGCTTTCGCCTACATACCAAGCTGAACCCATCACGAGGAACAAATACTGTCGTCGTTGGTGCCAGCACTCTTGCCCTCCTGGCACTCCCTGCTTCACATAAAACTGACCCGCTTTCTTGGACTCTTAGTGACAGGGCTCACGCACACACACACACACACACACACGGACGGAGACGGTGGATGTAAGGTGATATACGCTTTTAGCCGCCCTCGCCAAAACGTTGGAACCTGAGTAACCTAAGTGTCGGTAACCTGCAGCTTCCATTATAACGACACAGTGTGCAAGCACTCTCATCCAGCAACGTGCAACAGCTTTTGAACATGGGGCATTCTGAACTTTGACAGAGAACCAATGCACAGCGAAGATGATACATTGTGTCACAAGTTGCAAGTACACACGGCTGCTCAGATCGTGCATCACCAGGGAAACCAAAATGTCTTCGTTGGTGGCAGACTCTGGTCCCTGCTGCCAAGCGACGCATCTCTCCAGAAACCTTTAGTTTTCCCACACACACACACACACACACCCTGTTCAGGGGAAATCTGCGATTGCAGTCTGTCAAGGTTCCTGTCGAGACAGCACATGTTGCACAAGCTGTAACGCGGTGCGGAACCTGGGCCGAGGCTTAGTCGAAAAGCTGTGATGACCATGACGTTTTAGGATTTGAAGTATAAGCTCAGCACGCCTCGGAATGTAGAAAGTGTCGTCTAGATCTCGTGTCGCAGCCAATCGATTAGTAAATTGCTTGCAGGGGCACGGCACCGTCTCAAGGATGTTATCCTTGCCACGGAATATGGACCTGAGAAGCCTTCGAATCGGTGGGCTCACGCCGACCTCACAGGATGGGATTGTCAGCTGTTGCTCTGACTTGATGTTGTCGCAGATTTCGTCTGAGCTGACGTCGTCAAAACTCTCACCTGATGCGGATGCTGAGGCCGACAGATTGGTTTCAATCTCCGATGCTTTCAGCACCTCAGAGTCCGGAATCGATTCCTGATTTGAATCCAAGTCAAAGCTGGCTGACTCCATGACGGCGACCCCTACCCTTGGATATGAAAGTCACTCCTGCCAGGTGTCATGGTGTATGCACGCACGTTCTCTAACAACTCGCAACCGAATGCATTACGCTGCGGCTGAGAGGTCTTTTCATTCCCGGGAGTGATCCGGAGCTACGCGTACGAAGACCACCGGCTCCAATGTTCTGAAAGCTGTTATCGGCTCAGTGAACGCCACATGTCTTCCTTTCTGGTGCATCTGGAAACCATTCAACTGTGGCCTGCATTCCGGAACCTCTTTGACCCGCAAAGCAATATTTTCGCCACTTGGTCGACGGAGTCTGAACAGTGGCACATTAAGTGCAACCTGAAGGACTGCCATCTTGTGCAAAGATTCTCTGGCCGGCACACATCCACGCGCACGAGGTGTGATTCCGTGGGGAATCTGAGTTCGCCCCGCTGCTCAGCGAGGGGCCCGGTGATCAACTGGCCTTGTCGGAACAACTCAGATGCATCGGAGGGGAAAAGTTTGCTGGCGAATCTGCTCTATCAGATAGTCTATGCGATTTGGCAACATCAATCGCTGCAATCCAATGTCCCGAGCGATGCTGAAGGCATCCCCACGGAGACCTTCTAGGATCCTCGAGACGCATTCTGACATGTCAGCGTCCGACACACCAGCAGGGTTGGCACCACGGGCTCTGTGTAGGCCCGGCCTTCATCGCCGATGTCGCTGTTACCTTCTATGTGGCTAGGGCGACTCGGCAGAGACCCTGTGTGCTCGTCCTTTTCAACAGACGCAGGTCTCGCCTGCCTGGCCTTAGATCGGCTGGCGGGCATGCCCCTGGACTCACCCTCGGTGGGGTGGCCAGACTCGTTGGCATTCTGCTCGGACCTAAGCCGAAAGCCTGGTCCTTCAGGACCTCTCGCCTTTGCTTTTCCTTATGCTGCAACACGCGTATCCGTGTTCTAAAATCCCAGCCATGATAGGCTGAAGCAGTGCGGACCTAGTTTCTGCCGGGGCTGCATTGTGACCTCACGGAGTCCCCTGACAATTCAACCCACCAACACCCATGGGCTCGCTCCAAACTACCCTGAACACGCTACCGCTAGGGGCTCTGCTCTACAACACCAAGCGACACGGCACTGAGATCCGCTGGCTCCACTACCAGTTTGGAAGGTACGAAGTAGCCTGTTTTTCCCTACTCATGCGAGTTCTTCAAGCGTTCTGTGCATGCACTTCGAACTAGGATAAGAAATATGTGTTATGTGAAGATCAACACAGTTTCCTGCATACGGGTCGTAAAGACACGCATGCTTCACAAGCTTGCGCTTTTCTGACCCTTAGCGACAGTTTTACACGCACATCATGACGTAAGCATACAATTGTACACGCACGCACGCACGCACGCA